TTGGATAAAGATAATAACACAAAGAATATAATAAATAGAGAAGATACGCATTAAGTAATATACACCACCTCTACTGACTTTAGTTCTTTGTACATTGACATATTTTATTATATTATTTTAGAAGTAGGCTCTGGAAAATTATTGTATTTAAAAAAGTTGACGACATCTTCTGTTGCTATTGGTCGTTGGACATTAATTAAATTGTATCAGAGCAGTAATTTACATATTTTAATAATTTTTGAAATACATTATTGTAGGTAAATATATAGATATTTGTCGTTTCGTTTCAGTAAATAAATAGTTTAACAGTTTAAGAAAAATGGAAGTTGCAGACTTGCTGTAAAGTGAAAATATATAGATTACGAACAAAAAAGTTGAATAACTTTCTTCGTAGTTGTTATAGTAATATGGATAATATGATTTAATACGAGGTTTGTCATATATAATGAAAGTTATCAATAGAAAAGTTTACACCTTGAAAATTATAAACATAATTTACACCTTCGTCAAACACTACACAAAACATTACTTCTTCTTATAATTAAAACAGAGTGAAAACTTTTAGTTAGAAGTTTGGAATGATAAAGTCTTTGAAAACGATATATTTTCAATAGGTGCAAAATTCTATAGGGCAATGAAGTTTTTCTGGTATAAGCTAAACTAAAAAATTTTTTGAAAACTGTGGAGATTTGATCTTCGTGTTGCATGATCATTTAAACTTTTGATTTAATTAAATAAAACTACTGTAAATTCAAACATCAGATATATTATAGAATATATTTTTATCAAATTTTCAATTCATAATTATTTCGAAAAATTATACCAAACGTTAAATTGTTAAATTTAAATATTATATTTAAGTTTGGTATTTTCATTGGTACTATGATAATATGTACCTACTACTACTACTACCTACTAATTAACCATTAACCTACTAATTTTCGGTAATATAACACAATGTATTCAATAATAGTGATTTGGGTAATTATTCGTAATACCTATATTAGATTTTCAATATTTATTTGATGTGTGATAAGATTGTAATATATTTTATTTTGTTTGAATAATCCACTATAGATATAATTAATAAAAAGAAAATATTACAAAAAAAAGAAAAAATAGGTTTATGGAAGATAATACCAGTACCAGTACCAAGTATTAATATAAATCGGTAAATAGGCACTTGAAAAAATGCTGATAGAACGTTATGACACTGAAAATAGGGCATAAAATGAAGTATTTGCATCAATATTATTAATTGATCAATGATGTAAATGCAAAAAGGGCAAAACATTTTATGCTAGAACTATTTTTTATATAATTTCGTAAAGTGGAGTTTATATTAATACAAAGCAAGATTAATAGGTTTAACTTTATGGTATATTGAAATATACAATTTTTATGAATTGATGCACTTTTTTCAAATAATAAAACTTAAAACCATTATCTATAGGATATGATATTGAATAATTGTATTAAGTATTTTATATTTTGTTTGACTCTCTATCACGCCATGGACACATTTAAATAACCATTATTTTCCTTATGTATAGCTATCTATTTTGTGTTAATTGTTAGATTAATTAAAGTAAGCAAAATATAAATAGTATGTCTTTAGGTGCGTTATTTCTTATAGCGCCTATTTAGGCTCTAGATATGGGTGACCATAAGTGCACGACTTCAAACAAACTTCAAACAAGACACATTTTATCTCGTTATTTCCATTTTATATGTGCGTAAAAGAAAAATATCTGGTATACCTACACGTAATAAATTATACAGACAATTTTTTTCCAAATGTAATAAATATTATATTATATAAGTAGGTATATGATATTATTGAAACCAAAGTTTATCAATAACAATTTATTAGACATTATATTCAACGATTATAAATACTGTAACATTCTAACAACAGTAACAACACACCTAGTCTATTCTAACAGACTAACATTTTATATCCAGAAAATTTGTGCAAATACCTATACCTATACAAATTATAAAACCATCTTTTAGAGTTAAGCCAAAATTATTTGTCTCATTTAGTATATAAATATAGACCATGAACCCAACAATTAATTTGGATATGGTGAGAATTTATATACGCTGAGTAACGGCGGTCAAAAGCTGTTCATTGTCCGCAGCAGAGAAAATGCACCTCTAGTAATTTTTAATAAATATTAATTGTAATTTATTTTATCTAATACTCTAATTGAAATTATTATCGATGGTTAAAATAACATGTTACAATGCATTGAGCTATTCAGCTAGGTAAATGTTAAAGACTTAAAGTGTGTTTTTATCAAATTCGAAAGTATTTCATAACAATAATATATTTTAATACTTATACTTAAAATAAATTTAAAAAATAATATGTTTACATTATATACCTGTAATAGTTGTAATAGCTGTAATGGCGCATTTACCATTTAAAAATAGGTACACAGGTTCAAAATGTATTATACTGCAGCCATCTGTAATAATTGTCTAATGCCTCAACCTGCACACTTACGTGACAGTTAGTTAATGTTACGTACAGTTTTATTTGACATAATATTAATATATCTCTTAGTTATTATAAGGCTATATTCGTATAATACATAATTAATTTGACTTTGATCTTTTTAGCTGTAATAATATATGATATCTTATTAGTTATTACATAGTCGTAGGCGGTACACATTACAGTAAAAGGGTGAAGACAAGTATTATTTACTAGAATATATTATATCACCAACCAATTTCTGTAAGAATTCAGAATCACGATAATTTCAAACAGTACGCCGAATACATTAAAAACCATATTTTATACATATCTAATATTTCTTGTTGCATTAAATTAAAGTTTTATGAAGGCACTATTTTTTTATTTATTTTTTTGTACCTACTCAGATGAGTTTATAATTTTGGTAGTTTTTTTGTTTCATTCTGATAGAGGAAATTGCTAAAGAACCATTGCTTTATATTTAAATCATGTATAGAACAAATTATAATATAATATTAGAGGCATTTTTATAATATTTACCAATTTTTATATAAATTTCTACATGGAATCGAAAAAATCGGGATTGATATTTTTTATTGAACAACTTTCATTCATAGATATTCGGTTCTTTTCGATTAATTTCTAATGGAAACTGGAAAATTAATAAGGCTCATATGAAACACTAAATCTGCGACAGGTTACGCTCACGCAATAGATAAAAAAAAAAAAAAAAAATTATTCTTCACAGACACGAGGAATGTTATTGCTTATTGAAAGGAAGATCTGTATCGATATTTTTACTATCCTGGCATCATGATGTAATACCTATTGGCTATTCGATAGATTTTTTAATAAAATAATTAATAAATAATCGAGTGGAGATCGATATAGAAACTGTAAATTATTTAAATATTATCCAAACATTCATCGATATAGAAAAATTACTAATTTGAGTAACATAACAAATATATATGTAAGTACATAATTCAGAGACTATGGAATGGTTGAGTTCTGTCGTAGTATCGAAATCGAATTAGAATTTAGAACTATTCAACGGAGCCCGTGGTTGAGTGAAATGCACGAACTGGTGGATCTATAATGCCTTTAATTAAAACAAAAACGCCTAGTAAATAAATTACATGACGTCTAGCTAAGTTCTTATACTCCAGTAAACCTATTGATTATTACAATGAACATTGAATAGTCATAATTTGACTATTTCATTACCTATACTAAAGTTCAAATATAATATTATGCATTATATACAAACAATTGAATAGGTACCCTCGCGCATGCGTGTTGCAAACAATAGTAAGCAACGGCGATTTACTGACTCTGATATTGAACACTGAGCCGTTTATATTATCCAAATGCATATCAATATGTTATGATTTTATGAGCAATGAGATAACCTAAAAAATACGAGTATCCCAATTCCAACGCCATATAAAAGGGCTCAATACAGGGGTAGAAAACCGAAACAATAAGACCCCTATACATATTATAAATAGTTAAGAGTGCCTATAGTAACACCCGTATTTGTTGTCTCGGTCTCACAAACGTAGCAAATTCACGGTCAGCGGTTCACGTTTTACTCCGTCAGCTTAACAATCAGAGTGAATAGACCCATTATGAGACTTGGTGCTTGGTGGTAAGAACATTATCTGTGTTTTGTTGGAAGTATTTTTACGATAATTAAGTTTTTAAGTGAGTTATGAGCATTTTTATTCGACAATTTATTATACGCGCATAACTCACTTAAAAACTGAATTATCGTAAAAATACTTCCAACAAAACACAGATAATGTTCTTACCACCAAGWCTCATAATAGGTCTAATTCACTCTAATTGCAGTTAAGATAACGGAGTAAAACGTGAAGTGCTGAGCGTAAATTTGCTATGTTACGCGTTTGTAAGACCGAGACAACAATGATGGGTGTTGCGCCCTCTTTAAATAGTGTTATGGCAGTTTAAGTAGGCATAGATTTTTGTGGTTAGATAAGGTAATTAATTTTTTTTTTTTTTTGACGAACGCGTATCGAACTAAATGATCGCAGTTCACGATTGTATCGCGCACATGATCGACGATTTATTTAGGTACGAATTTTATTATTGGTGCAGGTCTTCGTGCGATGTATATTTTGATGACTTCGACAAAAATATTCCGATTTAACATTGAAACGGTGTTAATGAACGGTGAAAAACATTGTCGGTCTGGGTCGTTAAGTGGTGGACGGGGGAAGGGGACAAGGGGAGAAGAAACAACAACAAAACGAATCGAGTGAATGTCAGTATTGTTTTTAGTTTATTTCATGTTTGACAAAAAGCGCGGGGGGGTTACAGTCATCACTTATGTTGTAAATAATAATAATAGTAACAACGTGTGTATTATGATAATATTATTTGTCGTCCTTACGTGCAACATTGTTGCTAGGGTGGCGGCGGCGGCGGGGCGCGTCTCACTGGGTCAACGTGAAACACTCACAACACTCAATGGCGGGGAGGTTAGGGCGAATTAAGCGCGTGGTTGGCAGCAATGTATCTCGGTGAGGCATGTGTTTCTTCCCACCTTTCTACTGTCGAAAACAATAACACTGATTTGGCGAATGTTCACGTTTGGAGTCTTTCCGTTTTTTTTTCTCTTCGCACCGTCCGCAAAGATTTCGTATGGTTTCCACAGCATTAGTTGCTACTGCCACCGATTCCCAGATATTGGGAATTACCGTCGATCGAACACTTAAAGACACAGCGCAACTAACCCTCTAACGACCAGGCGTCGATCTTATGAAATTGAAACGACATTTCTACTGACTTCGTACAAAAAAATATTTTAGTAATAGTAGTAGTAGGCGTATAATATTAATATTAATAACAATTATTAAGTGTTTAATATATTTATTTACAATATACGAAAGCACTATGGCAGATCCGATAGAATCGAAAAACATTGTAGACTATGTGATCGAGGCACCAGATAATAAGAGGAAGATGTCATCAGATATGAGTCCAGAACAGACCAACGTTATAAAAAAGCTAAAAGAGAGCAAAACGCAACCAGGTAAGTGATCGATATGAATATGTACCAATAATCCACAAAACATTCTCTTTCCAACTTGGATTAATATCATACAATTATATTTTCAGACACGCTGTGCCAATGCCCCCAAAAATGTTCAGAACGTGTACCACAACGATCCAAGGATGAGCTATTTAAAATGTTTGTAGAAATGGATAGCGAAGATGTGCAAAATAAGTTTTTACAGAAGTTTATTGAGGCACGGCCTGTTGCCAATCGATTGTTTAGTAAAGAAACCACAGCGAATGGCAAACTATTACGAAGGATTCATTGCAAGTACAGAATACCTTCTTTCGTATCCGAGGATTTTATGTCAAGTTAGTTTTACAACAGTAAAAAATATATTTTATGAATAATTTTGGTAGTCATATATATAATTCACTCAAGATATTGAATAAATTGGTTATTTAACCTAGATTACTTGGTTACTAAGATCTAATATTCTAATAAATAAAATTATATCAAGTTAATTGATCTTCTTATGGAATAAATAACAATTTGAACACAATCTTCAAGTATTAACTAAATCGATGATTCAATACATAATGAGACAATTCTATAAAACCTATATATTATAGAAAACCACCCATTTAAAACTTTTTAAGTTAGTTATATAACTAGGTACTTAACTTCAGTATGCTTTTTGGAAGCAACTCTTGGTGCAATTAAATTATTTCTATAATAATTGACATTTCGTTTCATTAATTTTTTGTATTCAATGTATTTATCAAATGTTAAGATGTAACTCATTTACTGATATTAAAATAAACTAATAAAATTTTAAAAAATTAATGTAGTGTATCTAAATATATTTTACAGATATAAATTGTGACACCGACAAAGATGAAGATTCAGACTTTGATGAAACATCTTCAGTGACGTCTTTGGATTCCAAAGAAGAGAATGACAAGTCTTTAGAAAGTGATTCAACGGAAACATCAAGAAAGTCATTAAGTCGTTACAACTGTGTAGATGTTTGTCAAAAAGCATTTCTCAATCTGTTTGGCTTATCAGATAAACGTTTAAAAACTGTTAGGGAATTATTGATAATTAAAGCTCGTCAAAAGCACATGAAACGTATGATGGAAAAAGAAGAAAACCAAATAGAAGTATCATTAGCTAAGGATCTTGCACAGGGTTGTTTGCCATTGATGGCACTTTTTAATAAAGAAGATAGTAAGAAAGTATCTGACCAGTTAATGACTGCCATCAGTAATGATATAAATTTAGTAAATAACTTCTTTTGCAATCAGCTATGGAAACCAGAGTACATTAACCAAAAGCCATCTGAATGAATAGATTATTTTTAATACATATTTTAATGATTTTTAAGTATAATTGATTGGATGAGTATCTTGTTTAAATCAATTTTCGGGTACTACTTTATAATACAAATCCAATTCAATATTGTTCTGAATTCAGGGGATTATGCTTAATGTAAATTTTTATATTGTACTAGTTTATTGAATGTCAAATGACTGGGGTTGTTAAAATATGTATATTGTTTAACTATTCTATATTTTTAATCACTTATTTTAATATAATATCTAAAATAAGTAATGTTTTATGGCCTGATATTTTTTTTTTTTAAATTAAACAATTCCATCTTGTTAAAATCGATTATCTATGAATAAGAACAAATAAACAAAAATACAAAATTTTAAGTTTGAAATTTATTTTAATATTTTATTATTATACATATTTTTAATAGTATAAGAAACATAGAATTATGATTGGCGCTTGGTTTATTTTATTTTCATTGTAGTATTAAAATGTTAACAAAGATAAACCTTATTGTATAGTACAAAGCAAAGTAAATAGGAGACAAAACAATAGCATTACACTAAGTTTTTATTTACCTTAATAGTTTATTACAGTGTCTAAATAATGTTAATCATTACTTGTAGAAGTGTTATAACTTTTAATGAATAAAGGATGATAAGTTCATTCTTAACATTAAGAAATTAAGTAAAAATTTAAAATTACTTTTTTAGGTTTTAAAATAAATAGCCTCCGTTAATTTTGTATAATTTAATTTCGTCCGATTATGGTTATATTATTATTATCAGTATTTATTTTTATTTTTATTATTGTAAACCCCTAATTATGCATTTGTATGACTTAATTTTTTTAATTTTTTTTTTTATTGGTAACATTAATTACTCTAAGGGAGATGATACCAAATCCACGTTACTTATGGTGGTCTTAATTATACCAAACACCCAACAACTATTAATTGTAATGGGTTACATTATTTTATATATTATATACATTTTTACTAAACCTACTATTAATTTTACATGTTAACTATAATTCAAGATCCAAATTAGATTATAAGAGTGTTAATTACTTGTGACGAATTTATAGTAGTAATAGTAATACATAAAAACTATTTTATAAAATATTTCACAAAATAATTTTATATTTTCTAGACCAATGCTATTGTAAATGTATGGTATTGTTAATTTAAAGTTGTTTAAAACTTATTTTTCAAAGATATATTTTTTCACAAGTATTAATATAATTAAATTGAATATATTTTATAAGACCCCAAACCAAATATATGAATGATATTAAACTGATAAATGTTTTTTTTTTTTATTATTATTATTATTAATGCATATAGTCAAACTTCTGGTAKTTATAAATTTAGAGATGAGGAAAATAGATTCTGACGGTTAGTGATATATGCTCGGGTATATGTAAGTACTTCAAAGCTTTATATAAAATTGTAAAATTAAAACCAAGATATTACCGAGTTTTCATTAAAAAAAACAAGTAATAAGTAAACTATAAATATAAATCGTTCAATATACACTTATATTTGATATGATTGTTAAGAAATTTTAATTAGATATTAATGACAAAAAGTAATAAGCAAATAACTTAAATTCATTAATTCAGTACATATTATATTAAATAAACCCAAATGTTGATAAACTAGAACAGTTATAGGTACATACGCCATACATTTAATTTGATTTTATAGCCAATTGCAATCATTTATTACGGTATTTAAATGTTAATTCAGTTTTAGGAAAATGTATTCAACAACCTTTAAAAATAATTAGGTATACAGGTACATATTATTCAAGTATAAGTCAATAAATACTATAAACGCAAACAGTTTTAAGTGTTTTAACTATCTAATAATAATTTTTTATAAAAGTTTTAAAACACCAATGTATTCATTAAAAATATATACAATTAGCAAAAAAGTTTTTTATATGAGATATTCTACAAAACAGAACTATCTAATCAAGTAACAACAACCTCATAAATAAGTAATAACTACCTACTATAGATGTAAACCTTAGAAATGTAAATTAAAAACCCAACGCCCCCTCAAGATGAAAGACTAATGCATGTCAACAGTATAATTTTAATAAATAACAACAACATTCAATAAGGTAATACACATTTCATGCATAATAGCCTACATACAATGTTGTTAAAATCATTTCCGTTTACTTTTAAACATTTTTTTAACTATGGTATACACAAATTATATTATTATTACACTAATATTTCGTGTTCATTATATATAAGTAAGAAACAATAAGTCAATAATTCATATTTATGTCTTGACATGTTGAGCTTAAATTAGCACATATTGCATGCTCATAACACATAATTGATAAAGTGATAATATAATGACTAAATAATTAGTGTACTCACCATTTCCAATTTTTGAAAGTATTGTCTAAAAAATGTTAAAGGCCTTTCTGGTTTTACAATACATAGCTGGACAATGCAGTCTTTTAAAATTTGTTGTATGTTATGTCGTTGAACGTACAATTCACAGTCATCGACATTTAAATCGTCATATACATTTGATGCCATCTTGAGGTTGTTTATTATTTATGAACACAAATTTTAAACAAACATTCATTAACAGTTAGATTTACAGGGTCTGTTAGCAATTTTTAAGTTGTTTGTAGCATTTGAATGATATATTGCTAGAGAAATTATGTACTCTACACTGAATAACATTAATTTTAGAATGAGCTAATTTTAATTATGTATTTTATTACTACATATAAAAATAAAATAAGGAAATCAATATAAAAATTAGAGAACAGAACAGTATATTAAATATTTGTAACTGATTGACAAATATTTATTTAGTTTAGAAAAGAGTTATCAAAAATAATTTATATAACTCTGTCCTATGATAACGAGCGCGTTGAGCTGATAACGAGTGACTTCCGAATTCAGATAACATTATCTACAACCACGGTTACGCGTTTAATTAATGGTTGCGCTCTATATTTATTAACTTGTGGTGAGGTTATGTGATTGGTATTTGGTTTTTGTCTTCCCTGACGAATTATTATCGTGTGATATAGGACGTATAAACATCAAACATGTGATGGTTTTGTCAGTTGTTGAGCTTTGCTGTATTGGTGTCCGCCGTCCGGTACTTGGTAGGCAATAGGCATTAGCCATTAATTGTTATTTTGTTGTTCCTCACGTTTCTGTAGGAACGTGTTTACTGCTATATATAATTGCTCACTATTTTCGCCGATCGTGTGCCCGTTGAATGATAATAATTAATTATATTGCATCGTTATTGATCTAGGAATAATTTTCACACGTTACGGTTATTTTTTTATTTTTCATTATTCGATGGTTTCCCATTGTGTGTGTACTGGGTGAACGCAGGTTAGGTACATGCGTTGAAGAAGACTCGGTGCCAACATTACTTGGGTACGTTTTTATTAATTCGTTTCGTCTGCATTATTTATGTAATACAATAATTTATCCTTTTAATGCAGCCAACGTTGACTCAGCAGGAGCATAATTTAATTAAAACATGTCGGTAACGTGAAACGATGTGGTTTGTCGGCAGTGATCACTGTTGGACATTGGCAATATAATTGTACTGTTGTTGTTGATGTCGAATGTAAAGAACAATTGGATTACACCATGACCGGCTTCACCGAAGGAAGTCTGAACAGTCGACTGAAAGATCTAAACTCTTCCCAGCAAAGCATACAGACACTGTCCCTTTGGTTAATTCACCATAGGAAGTATGCACACACTGTCGTCAAGATTTGGTCTAGAGAAATATTAACAGGTAAAAACTATTAGTAAAATTAAATATTGTTAGATGTCGTCAACACATTGTTTGTATGGTTTCATTTATTTGGTTTTTAAATGTAACACTTCATTTAATATTATGGGTAAAGAGATTGTCTTGATTAGTACCTATATGCTATGTGTTTGAGACGCTCAATGTTATAGCTATTGGGATTTTGGTGTCCTATGTATAATGTTTAATATTTTCTCTGCCAAAATTGTGTTATAATAATAATTTTAAATGCCTATTGTATATTTTATACTTCAGATAGGTATATACCGGTATATATATGTTACCTTTACTCTACAAATTGTTTTTTGAAAATAATAAATAAAAACAAAAAATACATAGTAGGTAGGTAGGTACTAGGTATTTTTATGTCGATTGAAATTTATGAAATTGCATGTAAAAACAAAATTACCTACCTACTTAATTTCTAAAAAAATATACATGCATAAAATTGTTTTAAAGCAATTGGTCCTACTTATAATTTCTGTTAATCCAGAAATGTGGTTTAAGTTCTTTAATAGGAAAACTGAAAAGATATATAAACAAATATTTTTTTTATTTGGTTTATAGCTACCTACTTTATTAAAAAAAAAATATATGATT